TGTATTTTTTTTAAAAAATCACTCTAAGTAAAGTCTCTTAAAAATATTAATGATTGTGTCCTGGTATTTAATCTCAGGTGCTAAATACTTTGCTGCCATCTGCTGTATTTAGCACCTGAGATTACATGGTTACTAATTCATGCCCAAGCTCAAGCATAGTTCTTGGTGAGAAACAGGAAGAGGTCCTTGGCAAAGCCACTTCTCACCTTCCTAGTTCTCTGCCTCCAGCCTTCCTAGCCTTGGGCCTAGTTAGGGTGAAAGACTGAGAGCATGCCACCAGCTGGAGACTTGTGTCTCATTCCTCATTAGGAGGATTAAAGTGCTTTGGCTTCAACATGAGAAGTTTAAAATAATACAAAAACAACCATTTTCTGAAAAAGAGAGGAACCGGGCCTTTGGTTGCCTTAGGTCTCCTGAGAATTTAATCCTCGTTTTACAAGATCTGCAAATGAACAGAGAACCATCTACATGAGCTGAAAGGGTTAATGCTCATTGCAAAAGGACTCCTTTCCAAATACAGGTGACCTAAGCAGTGGGGACAGCAGAACACTTGAATATAACTGCAAACAGACTATATTTTAGTGAGACCATTGCAGCATTGCAGGTGACGCCACTCTTACATTTATGAAGATACTATTTCACCTTGGCTTTTATTGGGCACCAAGGGTCAAGGGTCCAGGGCAGTGACTGTGGGCCCAGGGCAGTGACTGTGGTCAGCCTGGTCAGGGTGTCAGAAGTCCTCCCAGGAGCATTTCTCACACCCTTGAAAGAAAAATTGCATTTTCATAAAGGATAGTTCCTCCTTTTCAAGTCTGAAGCAATGGTAAGAAAATCTCATACATTTATGAGTGTGCATGAAAGAGCAAAAGGGGCACTCAGTGTGCCCCTTGTGACTCAGCATTTATGAAATGACTATAAGAGCAGTTAACCATTTGGCAAATGCAAACCGAGGTTACTTAGCCAAGACCTATCATTAGAGCTAATGCAGTACTCCTGTGGCTTCATTCACCCCAAAATATATCAAGCAGAGCCCAATGCAGTCAAGTGTTTATTTGCTGCTACTTCCCCCACTAATGGGTTTTAAATGACTTGCAGGCCCTGTACCTCTTAGCCTGAGAAGTAGGACTTCACACAGCTTAATTACTACTGGCCTTGCTGAACATGTGCTACCACCAAGCCCAGTAGGGAAACCAGCCTCAGCCACAAGTATTCTGACTGCTATTGAGTGAGGGAGTTAGGGGTGGCTCCAGTTCTTTGCAACAGGTGGCTATGTTCCCATGGACTAAAAAAGAGGGCTTGGCTCATGGTAGCATGCATGTGGGAATCACACCATTCTCTGAATGGCTTGGAATTAATTTCTCAGTCTCTAAAAATGCTTTGAGATTGGTATTTTCCAAATAAAGTGGCCTGGGAGGATTTTATTGCTTTAGTTAACTTAAAATTAAGAATATAAACTAGTAAGCCTATACTTTAGTGTTCTCTTGCTTTAAGCACTCGACAGACAGATTAAGGGTTGAACACTTCATTTTTTGGTAATGAACTAGTACTGGAAAATTATTGGAGATGAAACATATTTTTCTACAGGGTTATGTAGCTTGACTACAACATAAAGGCTAAACCATAAAATAAATCCCTTTCTGCCTCTTTCGAATTTATATTGGGACTAGAGGTGCAGTGCATGTATTCCTGCACTGGTGGGGTCCCTCAGTGTGGCCTGTGAGGATTGGGTGAAACCAGTAGTCTAACGCAGCCTACAGCTCCTGCCTGCCTCTCCTACTCATCCTGGTCTGACTATGCCTGCCACTGCCACTCAGTAGGCTTGATGCCCCTCCACTGCAGCCTCCAGGCAGTGGTGGCCAGCCATGAGCCCTATGTCTGGCACCCATTGGTCAGCTGAGTGGTGCTCCCACTGTGGAGCACACTGACCACTAGGGGGCAGCTCTTGTGCTGATCATCTTCCCCCTGGTGGTCAGTGTGCATCACACAGGTTGAATGGTTCTTAGGCTTTTACATATATAGATAAGGAATAAATCCTATCAACATTCATGAGTTTCTGGCATTTATGTTCTAAATAGTCCATCAAAGACACAGATATACAGATATAAGTATACATTCGAACACACATAGAACTCAAAACAGCACGGATTTTTGCAGAGGATATATGTGTCTTTTGGGGGAAAAAATATGTACCTATGAGGGAAATTGTTTTGAGTCAATCAAGTACATTTTTCAAGTGAAAGTCCTTTAAAAGAGATAAATCAATCTAGGCTGAAGGGGGAAACAAAACGGGACAGTGAATGAACAACTTGGTAAAATCACAGGTCAGACTGGTTAATGGCACATGCTTTGGAGTCGGAGCTGTCTAGCTCTCCTATCAGCTGTGACACTTTGGTGAATTTATTCAACATCTCCAAGTCTCCATATCTTCATCTTTAAAATTGGATAACTCTTAATTGATATGCTTTTTTATAAAGATTAAGTGAATGTTATAAAAATGTAGCTAAGAATTTTACAGTAATATATTTTTAAAAATTGGTACCCATTAGATTTACCCAGTTGAAATTAATTTAACAAATATTTATTGAGGTCTATTGTGTGCCAGACACTATGTGCTCAGAATTCAGAAATAAACCGGTAAGCAAGAAAGCAAACATGGTCTGTCTTTTTTGAAAGAGGCCAGGCAGGAGAGGCGCACAGTGCTAACACTCTCAGACATTCCCAGTTTACTGAGGAACACAGTCACCCCCACAGCTAAGTTTAAAATGATGACTGTGAAAAGTACATGACACTGTGAAAGCATGTAACAGGGAAGATACATTAGTTCAAGAGCAAAACAATTTCCTTAAGACCGTGATGATTCAACTGAAATACGAAGGAAAAGTAGGAATCCAAGAAAGAAAGAGAGAACAGAAGGATTTTGCAGACAGTTTTCAAAGCCCAGTGGAAAGGGCACACTGGAAGCTGCAAAGCCACTGTCCTAGGACCACTGGGCGAGACGAGGAAACAGGAGCAGAGGTGAGGCTGCCCTGGGAAGGGCTGTTTGTGAAAGAACTATGTATGTTCTTGTCTTTAGAAGGGCATTGCAAATATGAAAAGTAAAAAAACAAAACAAAAAAAAATGTCATTATTGGCTACTAGAGCAGCACAATTGAGAATATAACCAGGGAGGGAGGAAGGGAGAGAGAAAGATAGGGAGGGATAGTGAGAGGGAGGGTGGGAGACTTAGAACAATTGATTTCCTGAAAGTATTTATCTTAATCAGAGTGAAACAGATGAAGGCAGAAAACAGTACAGTACATGAAGTAAAATGAACAAAGGGTTATTATGACTGGATAGGTTTTGAGATCAGAGTTACAATACCATATAAATAAATGGGCTGAAAGAATGCATTTTAGGATGAATTTCATAAAATGAGCTGTAAAGCACCTTCCATTTCTGTCATTACAGACTTCCACAGCATTTCCATTTAAGTTCTATATTAAGCATTCAAATGATCAATTATACATCTGGCATAAATCAAAACTAAATAGTTTGTTAATGGATTTTTTATTGGTGTTGCTATTCAAGCAAATGGGTTGGTTCATAATATCTTATAACTTGCTTCTGGTGGATTGAAAACAATATTGCAATTCTGGTGTGAATGAAAGTGAGGATCTCAGCATGAAGAAGCTGAAGATATTTATATATCATTCAAAAAGTACTTTAATGTAGCAACTCAGGCTTAACGATAGGTACCTAACTATGTGCTAGAAATGTCTAATCATATTAACAAAATTTCATCTCAACTAGGTACTGTTAACACCCCTAATATCTTCAGGTTTAGAGAATATCTTCAACACATTGGCCTTCATAATAGAAAAAGAAAACAAGATAGTTTATTCACATCGTTACAATTCTGAATAATCCAACAAGGTACGGAGAGGATGAGGTTGAAACTAGAAATTATTATGTGGGCAATTATCAAGATTGCCAGAATTGTCTGAAGGCACTGAAATAGCATAAAGTTTGAGTTTTTGAAAAATCATTCTGGCTAGTGGGTAAAAGTTGGATTGGATGGGAAAATCACTAAATATAGATACTAATTAGGAAGTTGCTACATTAAACCAGATGAGAGATAACAGTGGTCTGGGGAGATAATCGCAGCCTGAACTATGATAGGTACCACGGAGATGGAGAAAAGTGAATGGATTCAAGAAATATCTAGAAATTAGAAGGAACTGTGGAAATTAATTGGACATGTGTGATAAAAAGGGATAGAGTCAAGGGTAACTCTAAAGTGTAAGGCTCTGGGGAATTGGGAAGATAGTTGTGAAGTGACTGGGGCAGGAAATATAAGAAAGCAAAGTGAGGAGGCTGGGAGGTGCATCACAATGGAAGGTTCTGTTTCAGACATCCTGGTTTTGATCTGCTAATGAGACAGCTGTGTGGACATGTCAGGTCAGCTGATACAAATCCAAGTTCAGATGAGAGGTCTGGTATAAAAATAAAGATTGAGGCATCAGATGTGGGAGTGCGTCCACTGACTCAGGTTCATGTTTAAAACGGAAAGAGAAATAGACTAACTGTTGAGAAGCCCCATTAGATTCCTGTTTTTAACTATGTGAAAGGTTTACAATCTCATCTTTAATAGGAACTGATATAAAGTATCACTCAATCTCTCTAGTTTTCCAGATTCTATTTATTTCAACAGATAAAAATCACTATATTAAAAAAATGTTTTTATTGAATTAGCAGAATTAATTAGGTGATGTATATTTACTGGATCATTAATTAAATTCTAATAATTTACAAGTGCAACTGGTAATATAGTAGCATACACATTTTCTACAGTGCAAGAATTCTCAAAAAGACTTTTAACCACAATTTTCTAAATTTTCTATTGATATATCTTATACAAAGTAATTGCTATTTAAAGGAAAAAAAAAAAAACCTCTTTCTGGACATATATGTCAAGTACAACAGAAAAATTTGTAATTATATGACATATTACAAACACAGTATTTTGTTTACTTTTAAGTCAGTCTCCCGTCTAATCTAAATTATATTTTTCATTCTTTTTCTGTATTCCAAAAGTGCTGTCCTCTTCAAGAGCAATTTTTCATTTCTAGCAAGAAAGTAGCTCAGAAAGAGCCAAAGTATGAATTTTAAATATATTCATAAAATAAACTTTCCAGTTCAAAAAGTTAATATTTATAACTAAGTGTAATATTATACTACTCATGGAATTTTTTTTTTTTAATTTAAGGACTGACTCTATTTACAAAAATATGATTGCAATGAAACTTCCTTAACAGCATTCAAAGAATTATAATTATTTTAACATCTCAATTATTTGTCATGAACATAATAGGGTTTTAAGCATCTTTGGTTGTGTAAGTACAATTTTTAGGTATATACTCATGTTATCAAAATAACTTAGCTAATTATTTTGAGAAAAGCATAATTTATGTTGAAATTGGTCCAAACAGAACATTTGCAAAATGGAATGAGTCCAATGTCTTTAGCATTCTTATCAGATGGGTGCCATCTTGATGAAATTATACTGTGTCATGAATGAGTCCATTGAAAATGAATTTCAAAAAAAAAACACTAGTGTTCTATGAACACATTAGAGCTATGTACCTGTGCAAAAAATGCTTACAAATAACCACAAAAATTTTTTAAATACCACAAAATTATTTTCTAATTGGTTTAATTTCTAGTGAAGACAAACTCAGCTCCAACATAGGAATAATACATGTTCAAAAGATATGATAATTAATATTTATTAATTAAATCACTAAATGCATTACATGCATGCTTATTTGGTTATCGAAATGGTATCTATGTATAGAAAGCAGGGACAACTTAAATGAGAAGTCAAATGATGGTTTACCTTTCTATAATTCTGAGAACTTCAACCTTTGATTCTGAGTCAAAGCAACTTTCCACTAAATGTGTCTTTGGTTTTAAGCATAATCAGCTGAGTATTAAGAACTTCCCCCATCATTTTCCAACACACTAATTATACGGCAAATTTCAGTTTACTTCCTTGCAGTCATACTATTAGGTGGCAACATTTACCTGTAGCATTTCCTAGTAGGTTTAATCTATAGGAAGATTCATTAAAACAGACACACACACAAAATACAATAAAGGAGAGCCTGTGGCTCCCTAGGGAAATTGGTGTTTGGTCATCCTTTCATCAGATGAGGGGAGAGCAGTTAATTATACAGCATCCCCAACCTACTCCCCAATGTGATTTGAAAGTCAGCTTATTGAGCCACTACCTTTTAGCAATGGTGGTAAGGCCAGTTCCTTGTTCAGGTTTCCTTCACTACAGGAAACCGGAAACTGTCACAAGAATGTCCGTTATTCCACCTTCCGGCCATACAACTGTAGGTGAAATGTTTTGCTGTCCTGTCTCCCAATAGGTGTGTTTTCACCTTGGCTCTGCCAATGAGGTTTCCGTGAATGACACCAAAGAGCATCCATTCAGATGCTCTTTTTCTTCCTAAAAATGGGAAATCAGGACACACCCAGGCGCTGTCCCCAACCAGATGTATAGCTCTGGTCAGAATTCATCCACACATTTTCACACCACAGCTTCCTTAGACATTGGTTGCCTCTGTGAAAGAGCCATTGGGGCCATATTTCCTTTTCACTTCCAGGTTCTTTTTAGCCTTGAATGACACGAATACTTCCGAGTGGATGGTGTCCAACCTGGGCTCACAGCGGAAGGCCGAGAGGAAAGCTTTTCTGTAGTTGCTGTTCATCCAGCCATAGAAAAGGGGGTTGGCAAAGGTAGAGCACATGGCAATGATGTGGAGCACGGTGAAGATGAGCTTGTACTCCCTCAAGTTCAGGACTTGGTTGTCAATGTCCACAGCGAGTTGGAAGGCATGGAGAGGCAACCAGCTGACCGCGAACACCACCACCACGCACACCAGCATTTTGGTGGTCTTTTGCCGTCGCTGATGGTAGTGATCACTCGCAGCTCCAGGGCTGACGTGGTTCTTCAGTTTGCTCCAGATGCGCATGTAGGAAAAAGAAATGATGCTCAGAGGCAAAACATACAGGATCAGTAAGGAGGAAAGACTGTAGACAGTGCCATACACGCTCTTCTCACCAGGCCACTTCTCCGTACAGGCCACAATGGAAAAGTCAGGGATAATCTCAATCAGTGAATACTCTCGGAAGATGGCCAGGGGGCTTGCCAGCAGGGCACTGATGCCCCAGGCCAAGCCAATAATCAGGAAGCTGATTCGCTTGGAGATCTTGCTCTCCAGGTGATAGACGATGCAACGATGCCGGTTCAGGGCAATTACCATCAAGGTGATGGTGGACACTTGTACTGCCAGGCCCTGGGCATAGGGCACCAGGTGGCACAGGACAGGACCCATTTTCCACTCTCCCATTAAGGTGTAGGTAAGAGTGAATGGCAAGCACAGGGTGTTCACCAGAAGGTCTGCCACAGCCAGGTTGGCAATGAAAAAGTTGGTTACTGTTTGCATGCTCTTGAATTTGATCACCACATGGATCACCAAGGAGTTGCCAATCACCCCAAGCAAGATGATGAAGCAGTAAGCCAATATGAGGATGATCTGCACTTCAATCAGCGTAGTGCTGTCTCGAAGCTCTGGCTTAGGGTCAGGGGCCAGCTCACCGTTAGGAGTGGTTTGCCCTGGACCGTACTGCTCCACTTTCATTTCTTCCACTGTCTGGTTCTCATCAGCCTCTGCACCTATTGGGCCCATTTTCAGGAAGAAGAATCTACAATTAAAAACAAAAAAAAAGAACAACTATGACACAAGGGTGAGAAAAAGGAATATCACAAAAGGCTTAGTTTCATTTTGGTGGGGGCTCAGAATGCCTGTCCTCTGATATCTCAAATTGCACATAGTCAAATATTTTAATAAAGCAGACCCTTGAATGTGTCTATTTTTTGTCTAAGTCTAAATATGGATGAATTAAATCAGGTACTTGACATGTATGTTACAATGGTAAAATGTAATACCTATGTATAAATGAAATTCCTATGTGAATGCCACTAAACTGATTCAATCCATTTTATGAGATGGATACTAGAAACTTTATCAATTAATTTTATAACTTCTATTAATTCATCAAATTAATTTTAAATTAATAAGAAAAATAAAGTGTCCTTCAATATCTTGACTGTTCTAAACTTATAAATATAGCAACAAACTACACAGAAAAGAAATTTTGAAACCTTTGGCCTGGTGCCTGAACTTTGGGAGTTTAAAATATTTAGGGTAAAGTGAGCAGATTTTCTTTCTTACCCATTGTACCCAATGTAGGGGTTAGAAATACAATAGATAACCTGTACAAAGCAGTTAGTTTTTGTTTTTTTCGTGTTCTAAAATAAACATTTTACCTGACATATATCAGAATCCTACAGAGGAACTATGCAAAAACTATGTCTAAACCTGAACTCCATCTCTCACTAACCCCTAAATATTAAGGTTTTCACACTTTGCTTCCCCAATGGCAGCCCCCAATCCAAGACTTTTTCTTTACACGCCCATCTTCAGGCACTGCTCCCGCCATCCATTAAGCCAAGTGAACTCCAAAAGCAGGTTACCATTCTGGGCTTCTTCATCTCCTTTAGCCCCCACATTTCAGAAACCCTCAGACTGGTCTCTCACATATCTTTCCCAGGGGTCCTCTTATCATTGCTACCACATTAGTTTTGCCTTTGCTCTCTTACCATAATTACTCTAATAGTCTTCTATCTTATCTCCCTCCCTCCCTTCCTTTCTTCCTTCTTTCCTTCCTCATTCATTCATTCACTTAACAAATATAATTGAGCATCTACTAAATGCTCGGAGTAGCTCCATAAGCATTTAAAAACTTATGTCTGGAAGAAGAATTCTGTTGGGGGAAAAAAGACAGTAGGATAGGACCTTTATTCTAGGCTCTGACATTTTACTAGGTAGTAAAATGGGGTTTCTGAAATTCAAACATGATCATATTACTCCTCTTATCCCCCCAGATTTCTTAATATGTTGGCTTTTAATAATATTGTAGTTCCCCTTTCAGGTCAATAAAAACACTCAGATCTCAAGATCCTGGTAGTGGTATCTGTTGAATATATTCATAATGGGGGGGAAAAAGGCTTCCATCATTAATTTAGAACCTCATTTAATGAATTCATTTTGTATTCATCATAATAGCATCTACCTACATTTGTGAGTCATGTTTATTCATCCCACAGACCGTGGCTGGCAGGGTCTCAGTGCCCCAGCCCCATCTCCCACCCTTCCCCTGGAGGCTGACTGTTACAGTCTACACTTTCAGGCTCATGATTCATCGGATGAATGGCCAATGGGAAGTCCTGGCAGGTAATTAGAGGGCATGAGGAAGGCAGAAGCCACTGTATTCTCCTCCCTTCCTCTCTTCTGACAGAGCCTCACAGCCCATCTATGGCTTTGGTTGGCGCAGGGCTGACCCACAGTGATTCTGTTCCCAGTGGATGGCCCTGGTCCCTGGGGTTCAGTCACAGTGACTCCTCCCCCTGTCCCTCTTCCTGGAAGTAGCAATGATTCCTTGCTCTTGCTAATCCCTGGCAGCCTCAACATCCTGTTTGGCTTTCATTGCTTATATAACCAATTCGCTGCATGTAATTCCTTCTCTTTTACATCTCGAATAGCTTCTGTTTCCCTGGACCTGCTGCTCTCATTGACCTGCTGCTCTCCCACTAACGGTTCTGCATCGCAGATGGATAACACTGGCATAGGAAGAAAATCCCAACGCCATTGTATACATTCCAAGCTTTCCTTGGACTCATCCCTGCTGACCCCTCTGGCTTCATCTTTCCTGACATCCCAGTACATACTGTACTTCTGTTGTGTTAAACTACTCCAGTTCCAACAGCACATCAGCCTTTCTCTTGTCTCTCTGTCCCCCCACCCCCTGCCCTGAAATGGGAAGCCTCTCACTTCCCCCAACAACCTGTGCTCACGTCTAACCCCAAAGCTCAACGTGTCATGTTGCAATTGTTTCCCTTCCACTGACCCACACAGCATTCTCTGTGAGACAGAAACTGGATCATTCCCACGCCTTGTTAAAATCTTAGCACACCATCCAACACATTAAAGGTGCTAGATACTTTGGCAAAACAAATATGAAGCTAAAGGAAAACATAATCATGCTGAAAAACAGAGAGCAGCAAAGCACCAAGTAATTTTGATCCTTTTCCTTTACTGACTGTAATTGCCTGTACAGAACTCCTTGTTCTGATATGCCAGCCTTTAATTATTTCCTTATTCTTGGCCAGGTAACCACTTCCACAAGAAAGTTGTCCCAAGATGCCAAGATCCCTCTTAAACCAATCCCTGATTAGAACATTAAAACATTGGCAGGCAGTATACTCAGAAGGAAACTTTCTATCTCAAGGGCTTAACACACACACACACACACACACACACACACACACCACACACACACACACACATCACAACACACACACACACCCCATACACACTCCCACACACACACATACACACACACACATCATAACACACACATACACATCACAACACACACACACACACATCACAGCATACACACACACACCACAACACACACACCACACACAGGAGCCATAATGCAGAGAGAGATTTCCATGTACTCACATATTTACTTTACTAATATATTCAAGTTCTCTTTGTATAAATTTTAAATAGACTGTTCCAAGAAGGACAGGTCCTCATTTGCATTTGCCTCTCCTCTTTAGTAATAAGGGAAAAGAGAAACTAACCAGCCAAATCTTGGCGTATATATTTGATAGGCTGTGCCATTTCTCTTAGACTAAGAGAGTCTTTACAGAGTGGATTAATCAGTCCTGACAATTCATTAACAGAGCTAACGAGACTCCAAAGGTCTGAGTTAGACGTTTGCAGCAAACTAAATAGAGACTGAGCCTGAGATAGAAGGATATTAAAATGTGTGGCCACATTTTATTTATTAACCTCTTTTGCTTGATAGTCCCATTTTCTTTATTTCAAAGCCCCTTTAGTTAAAGCTTCTCTGCAGGAACAGTTAATGATCTATTGTACATGCTATTAGCATATGGGTGCTGGATGTCAGCCAGGTCAGCGCTCACCTGGGAATGTGTTACTTCATGAGCGCACTTCTGGAAAAGCGGAAGAGGAAAATGAGAGAGAGAACTGCCAGGTTAAAAACTCAGGAGCACAAAAATAATGAGAGAAGTAAACAAGGGGAAACCCTTTCCTTGAAATAACACCTTTCTCATAGTTCAAGACACTTAAGGAAAACTGAATATTTATTTACCTTACAGTGACTCCCAAAAATTCTGCTATAGTGATATTTCTTTATAGAACAGGAAAATGGCTACAAGTCCCTACCCAGAGATTCAAAGCTTTAACTATACATTTAAGTTTGTGGAACTTTTAACAATGGTATGCTTATTGTCACAGGTTGGCCTTGATAAAACTTAACATCTTATCAATCACAAAACCTTCCAGGAATTTTTCCCAAAGGAAAAGCCCAAAGATCATGCCAAGAGCCTTATACTTGCTGGTCCCAGGGGAGAGAGGAGTGGACATTCAAGAATGCTACATGCAAGTCATGGCTGTTTGCCTAATAAGCAGAAAGTTGAAAACATTTGCTAAAGGGCTTCAGTGTCTCTCTTCCAATTGAGTTTGTGGTTTTTCCTTGAAAACAGCATTGTCTGTTTCATGTCACTAACTTTAATGGTTCCTTTTGCAAAAAAGTAAATAAATAAAAATTCTTAAGGCTTTTACTTTTGTCTTCTCCTCCGTCCACCATAGGCTCCTACCAGTGGGTGAAGTCGACGTGGAAAACCAGTGAATGCTTAAATAAATGTGTTTGTCCTTGAACAGCTTTGGAGAATCCCTCCTCTCCCCCCCACTTTTTTTTTTTTTTTTTTTTTTTTTTTTTTTTTGACAGGGGTTTCATTTTAAAAAGAAGAGGCAAGAACAAGAACAACTTGCTACTCTGGAAGGAAGGGTCGAGGAAATGGCCAAGCATCTTGGGAAGATAGGAGTTGGGGATGCTATCACCTTTGACCTTAATGGCGGGGGGAAATTCCTGCACTCATGAGGACCCCCCCACCACCACCACCACCACACACACACTCCGTCCCCTTCCTAGCACATGAGCGCCTCTTTGTGGGATTTTCTTCCCAGAAGGTGAATCAGGGTTAGGACTTACACTTACTGACCTGGCCGTCAAGTTTCTTTCTGCTTAGAAGCACCAGCAAGACGTGTGGCAGAAGGCAAGTCCAGTTCCGTTTGTCCGTCCGTCCTGACGTCCTGACCTCGCAGGGCAGACGCCCCCCGGTCCAGGTCGCTGGGAGTCTGGCTGCTTCCCGGGGCTCCGCACGGAGGTTTGCAGCACAGAGCCCTGGGGTGAGCGGTGGGGTGCGGAGGCTGCGGAGGAGGAAATGTTGGGAAGGGCGGTGGGGGCTGTGAACCCCTTCCCGCGCAGAAGAAGACACAGGTGGGTGCGAAGGTCCGGCTGGGGAGAGGCGTGGATGGGAAGTATCCCAGGCGATGGAGTAGCCGACTGCGCCCTGGGTCTCTGCCGCCTCCCGGCTCCGCAGCGCTCCCCCGGCGGGGCCCTGCCCAGCACGCCGCCCGGTGCCGGCACCACCACCTGCAGCTGCTACTCCCTCTCCCCGGGGCGCCTCTCAAGTTTGATGCTCTTCGTGGGGAGTTTGCAGCATTGCCACCCCCTTTCCTGTCCACCACCCCCTCGCCTTGCTATCGGCTGGCTCCTCAGTTCCGCGAGAGACAAGCCGGGAAGGCTGGGCCCCACCGCCCGCTCCCCGCCCCCCCAGACGCGGGTCCGGAAAGGGACAAGTCCTGGGCGCGGGGAGGCGGGGGGGGGGGGGGGGGGGTGGGGAGGCCAGACCCGGCTGCGGAGAGGGTCTCTCTCTCTCTCTGTCTCTCTCTCTGTCTCTGTCTCTCTCTCTCTCTCTCTCTCTCTCTCTCTCTCTCTGTCTCTCCCCCCCACCCCCCACCCCCCACCCCCGAGGGGAGCAGAGGTGGAGCGCTGGCCCAGAGCGCACCGGGCACGATCAAGCGGGGTCCGCCTGGGCGCTCAGCTCCAGGGCTGGGACGCCAGGCGCTGATGCAGCTCTACACGGGCGGTCGCGGAGGCGAAGCGAGTTCAGATCCTTTTAGCCCAAGACCAACAGGTGACTGCTGACCAGTCAGGTCTGGCAGCGCGGCTTCCGATGCTAAAGCAGCGGCGGGCGCGGTGTGCGCTCCGGCTCCAGGCAGAGCTGGAAGAGGAAGAGGAACACAGTGGGTCACCAAGAAAACCAAAAGGCGCGTTATCTAGCTACCCGACTTCCAGATCCTTCGCTCTTGGGTCATTTCCCAAGCCATTCCTGCCTCCGTGAGCTCCGGTCTCCTCGTGGCGAAGCCCAGGGCTAACGCCTGCAGCCCGTGCGTGCGATTGGAGGAAAACAGGATCCTGGCGCCAGTCCACAGAGCTATGGGGTCTGTGTGTTCGGTGTTCCTCCCCAAAACTCTTTATTCAGAGCCACTCCTTCTGGAAGTTTACAGACAGTCTCTCCTTCCCATGTTCATTTCCGGAGGGGACAGCAGACCCTATCTATTGTAGTTAGGAAAGCCAAAGCCTGAAACTGGAAACCAACTTCTTTCTTCACTCTCCCCTGTTGGGGTTTTACCCACGTTACTTTCCTTCTATGTGTCAGTCTCTTGGTTTCTGAAATGAGAACAATCACACTGGTTCACCTGGGATTTCTCCTGAAGTATTTAAAAGGGGGTGAAGGAGGGAGGGTTAAACTATATATATATATATATATATATATATATATATATATATATATATATATACACTCTCCAAAATACCAGTTAAGGCCTAACCTCAAGAGGATGGATTTTCAATCCCATGCCCGTTTACCCTCCCTAATAATGGTGCATTGGTAAGGCCTCTCTACATAGCCTGTTCTGAAAAAGATCTTAATGTGGAATGTGCCCATAGCAGCATAGAAATCACTTCTAAAATACAGCAGCTTGGGCTTTTCAACTACCAAAAGACACAAGTAAACAGAACAGGATATATCCAAGATGCTCTCCACAGCTCCACTTAGACTGCTTTTGTAGATTTATTTATTTATTTATTTATTTATTTATTTATTTATTCATTACTTCGGGTAAATATTCCCTGCTCAGACAGGTGTTTTATGCAACAGGTTCCATGCGTCTTAGTATCTTTGCGCCAGTGAAGAAAGAAGTGTGTGTGCTAAGGAGGGCAATGGTGGAAAATGGAAGTGGCTTGAAACAACCACCACAAAAACAAATACAGTACACAGGAGGGCAGATGAGTGCTGGCCTTTGGAGTAATTGCTTTGCAGGAATCACCTGATTTTCCACTGACATTGATTGCACAAAACATTTTTGCCTCCTTTAAAAGCATCTCAGCAATCATGCACAGATATTTGCTCCTTCCTTATCGACAGATGTGTGTCTTAGATGATTCACATAGTTCCACAGACATCTAGTCAGCTGCCCTAATAAGAGTAAGTGACCTCTTTGACTGATGTCTTCCAAAGAACAGAACTGAATGAGTAACTAAATCTGTTGAAATTAAAGTTGCTTTACTGTGTGTCATATTATCATGGATAGTTTTAACTATAAACTCATGATATTTTTGTGTATACATTTTAATGTGCATATACTGAATGCTATGGTAACAATGAACCACTTTGAAGAACACTCATAAAGGCAATTAAGACACTGATAGAAGATTGTGGAAGTGGTGGTGAAATATTAATTCGAATTGGGATAGGACAGGATTATCACTGCCTAATTTTTCTTGCATCAAATTACTTAGTGTCCCAGGCACTACCACACCTCACCAGACTGTGTGCTGACTGCTCTTCAAATAAGGAACAGACTCAAACTCAGATGCCTACAAGGCTGGTGCTAATGGCAGAAACACCAGCAGACGAGGCTGCGGGAGACAGTCCGGACTGGTGGGGTTTGACACCTTGGACAGCACAAAAGCATACTTCGCTGAGGGAGAAGTCTGCTTCTCATATTCCACTGAGCTGCCCTGCATGACCCTAGACCCAGTATTGTCAGATCTGATATTCAAAGATAAGCAGAATCCATGTTCTTAATTTTTTCCCAAATTTTAAATGAAGGAAATTAATTTTTAATAAGCCACCCCCCCAGGTGGTACATAACTGTGCAGACCAAAATAAATAAGGAGATGGATGGGTGGATGGGTGGATGGATGGGTGGATGGGTGGATGGATGGATAGATGGATAGATGAATACATGCAACCTGACTCATGGGTCTCCAACATTGAAGCTTCTGCTATTAGTATGTGATATTTGACAAACGTCCTAAAATATCTCAAACATGCCTCTACTACCGTTTCCTCTATCCTGTACAAATACCATTCTTCTGTGCACATAAATATAAAAGGAATACAACTAAAAATCAGTTGCCAAACAAGTAATTTTCTTTTCCACTTCTGGATGAGTGAGACTGTGAAATAAAGGACCTAGTGAGTAACTGACCAATTCAGTATTTTGGATAGTTAAAATGGAGGGGAGGAAGGCAAGTGAGGGAGGAATGGGGGCATCTGTAATAGTGTCAACAATAAAAATAAAGAAAAAAGAGTAAAGAAATATACATTATCTGAAACAATGCTGCCCAGGTGGGACTTTCTACGGTGATGAAAATGCTTTATGGCCACACCGGCCAGGAAGGTAGCCATCAGCCACAGTGGCCTTGAGCACTTGAAATATGGCTGGTGCAGCTGCTGACTGCTAACTTTTAATTATTTTAAAAACCCACTGAAAAGAATAAGTGTGTTTTGATTCTTGGGGGAATGTCCTCCCGGTTTCCTTCTGCCAGAAGCTAGTTTTCTTCTCATGTGAATGTTACAGTTTCCTGAGAGATTATTAAATAAACTTCGATCCAGATCAACCTGACTTCAATCACAGACAGAAAGAAATAGCGTAGTGCAGCCGGAATGTGGAAACTGATTCTAGAAGAAGAAAAAAGGAAGCTTTGTAAGTCAAGATACCATCACCTGGGAGAAACCCAAGGAAGGGGTGAAGAGCACAGGACCAAAAGAGAGAGGAAGGCAAGCCCAGGCAGAGGAATTCTCTAAACCCTACTAATGTCAGAGAAGCTCAGGGAAGCTATAAAATAACCTGGTCTAAACAAACAAAGCCTGCTGACAAGTCCTCAGTTAGGAAATAGTAATAATTAAACTAACTTAGTGGGTAGTTATAGTGTTCAGTATATTTGAAACAGATGCGGTCTTGCTTTGTTTAAATGTTCAATAAACTTAGTTATTATTTACCCTTAGGCATAAGTCCACCTTACAGAAATTCTTTTTTAAAGTTTCAATACACTCCTTTATAGTAAAAATTATGGAATTTAGATATCCTGGTCAATAGGCCATTTGGCTATCATACTGATTCTCAATTAATTATAGAGATATTTCTGACTGGATCTGTGCCCACCTTTCATGTCTGGCAGGAGAAGGCACAATGAGACAGAAGTAAATAGCTGAACAGATATGATGAGTTTGCGTCAAGTAGACAAGACAAGAGAGACCAGTTTATATGAATGGATCCGAAAGTGTTATAACTTTTAGAATATCTCTCTAAAAAAAAAAAACACAAAACATTTAAAAACCTAGCTAGTCTAATCATGCTTGTTTTGATGGTAATACTTCTACTTCCTTCTGCTTCATTACAAACTTTTTTTTTTTTTTTTTTTTTTTTTGTAAATGTGAATGAACAAGAAATGGCCACCAAATACTGAATTAAACAAACTGGTAGGCTAGAGTTCTTAAAATGTTTGTGTGCAGTATATGTGATGAAGACAGGTGTCTCATTGAAGAACAGCAACTAATCATTCAAAGTGAAATGAATGCTAAATCTGAAATTGGGCATAGGTATCATTTGCAATGATGTTCATTTCTATGGATTTAGAGATTTTATTTTTGTTTTGAAATTTTAAATATTCAAAGTAACTAAGCAGAATTGTAAGCAACGTTTTACTGAGATTTTTATTTCTCAGTGATCAGACAAATGGATATTGAAACTGGTAAGGATCTACATCTAAAAGGATATTTAAATGCAAATGATTTACAGTTCAAATTTTAAGGTAGAGCAAAGGCAGGGACATTTACATAGGAATTCAGAATTTAATCAATGCCAATTTTCATTTGATTATCTGAAACCTGCACAGAAGGTCCATGAAACATGCATCCTTTTGGAAATTTAAATTTTTATTTAAGTGTTTATCTTTGTAACATATAGAGGCATAATTTGATGCATAGCTTTTGAATCATATACTCAAGCTGAAGATAATTTTTAATTTTTATTATAAAAGAACAAACAAAATCAAAGCATTCTCTCATACTAAATTGCTGTTGGTATTAGCCTACAATGGGAACAATTTTAGCAGAAAAATTGTAGCTGAGAGAATGGTGTTCTAACTCTGGAATGTTATGCCACAGACAGTATGTAAAAGAGGTGTACTTTGCTTTTGTTTCCATTTTAAGATTTTAAACTTCTAAATTTTAAACTTCTAAAAATTACATTATCATGCATAGGTGATCTATTCAGGGTTTTTGTTGAATTCTTGGAAATAAATGCTAAGATGTTCAATTTAGTCAATTAACATCTAGACCACACTTTAATAAAAATTTCATGTCTTGATATGTATTCTGTTTTTCTTTATTATTACTGAGTTATTCTTTCAAGACTAATAACAAGAGTAAATAATAGAGAATTGTGTAATCTTCTGGCAATTCTGTCCTCTGG